AAAATGAGAAAATCACGGTACCCTCTATTTTTGTACACTGTCCAGAGGTTCCGCATCCGTGGCCTCTTTAACCGCTGCAGCACGACTGCTTCTGCGGATTTTTCCTCGCTTCTGCGATCACCAACATGCAGGTGCATGTCCACACCTGTGAGATGCCTTCCGCATCTGCGCTCCACAGTCACCAGCCCAGCCTCCGCTTCTGCGCATCTTAGCTCGCACCTGCGAGCTCGCTTGTGCGAGTTTCCTGTCCGCTTATGCGAACCTTGCGCACCTGCGATGTCCATTGCACTTCTACGTGGTCGCACCTGCGAGCCAAGTTCTGCAAGTGCGATTGCACTAGAAGGCACAAACTTCAAATTTCTTCTAAGTTTGAATTTGATCTGTTAACCATCTGACACTCACCCGAGCCCTCCCCCCTTCCTCCCCCCCGGGACCTCAACCAAATATACCAACAAGTCTTAAAACATACCACAGACCTACTTGAGGCCTCAAATCATATCAAACAACATCAAAATGATGAATCGCATCTCAAATCAAAATCTATGAACTTTGAACGTTCAAAGTCTATATCTTGTGCCGAAACACATCAAATCAGGCCGAAATGACATCAAATTTTGCACATAAGTCATATTTCAAATTACGAATCTATTCCAATTTCCAGAATCGGATTCCGACCCCGATATCAAAAGTCAACTCCCCTGTCACACTTCCCAAAAATCTAACTTTTGCCATTTCAAGCCTAATTCCACTACGGACCTCCAAATAATTTTTCGGACACGCTCCTAAGTCCAAAATCACCATACGGAGCTATTGAAATCATCAAAATTCAAGTCTGAGGTCAACTTTTCCAACTTAAGTTTTCACTTGTGAGACTAAATGTCTCAATTCACTCCGAAATCCTTCCGGACCCGAACCAACTAACCTGGTAAGTCATAAAATAACTATAAAGTATAACTTGAGCAGTACATGGAGGAACGAGGTTATAATACTCAAAACGATCGGCAGGGTCGTTACATTCTCCCCCACTTAAATATACGTTCGTCCTCGAACGTGCCAAGAATTGTATCCAAGCCACCAAATCACTATTCCATCTATCACGCACCTACCCGGGGGTGATCCCACATCACCCTATTCTGTGTAAATTGTATAGGCCTGACAACACAACATAATTTAAAATCATTACTTTAATCTTAACCCATAAACCTTGGAATTCAATTTCCAACATTCAGAATTTCTTTTCAAGACCTGAATCTCACATCTACATGTTGTATGAGTTTGAACAAGCTGTATCAAGACATAACCATAACCCCAGATATAATCACTTAACATACTACACAACTCGCATGCTCGCAGCACCAGTTTCGATCACATTGACTACTCCAAAGTAACCCGATAATAGTATTAAATCCCATATCAAACAAAACCTCCTTCTAAAACCTTCGTACACTGCTGATAGTGAAATAAATACGCGAAATCTCATAACACCTTATCAGATCGACAAGTCATGGAGCTCTCCCGCCCCAACTAGAACCATAATCAATTTCTAAGCCGACCTTCAATATTATCCTCCCAATATACCATAATCAAACCTGATAGTATCCATTCTAGGTCCAATGACCTTATATTATTAAACACAACTATCACATTGACATGCCACACCAATACAACTCAATCCACATGTAACGACCCGACCAGTCATTTTGAGTATTACAATCGCATTTTTTCATTTACTTCTCAAATTGTACTTTACAGTTATTGTGTGAATTGCCGAGGTAATTGGTTCAGGTCCAGTGAGGTTTTTGAAGGAATTGGAATAATTAGTTCCAAGGTTTAAAGCTTAAGTTAAAATAGTGACCGGATGCGGACTTATGTGTAAACGACCCCGGATTCGAATTTTGATGATTCCAATAGCTCCGTATGGTAATTTTGGACTTAAGAGTGTGTCCGGAAAATTATTTGAAGTTCCGTAGTGGAATTTGGCTTGAATTGCCGAAAGTTAAATTTTTGAGAAGTTTGACCAGAGGCTTGACTTTTTGATATCGGGGTAGGAATTTGATTCCGGAAATTTGAATAGGTTTGTAGTGTGAAATGTGACTTGTGTGCAAAATTTGAGGTCAATCGGACGTGATTTGATAGGTTTCGGTGTCGTTTGTAGAATTCGGAAATTTGGAAATTTATTAGGCTTGAATCCGTGTGTAGTTCGTATTTTTGAGGTTGTTAGGTATGATTTGAGGCCTCGAGTAGGTCCGTATTATATTATGGAACTTGTTGGTATGTTCGGACGGGGACCAGAGGGCCTCAGGTGAGTTTCGGATGGTTAACGGATTGATTTTTGAATTTGGAAGACTGTTGGAACGGAAGCCTTCTGGTGTAATCGCACCTGCGGAAAAGTAGTCACGGGTGCGAGCAGGGTGCGTTGAAGCGAGGTGCGCAGGTGCAGAAGATGCTTCGCAGGTGCGGAATCGTACCTGCGCGAGAAGGAGCGCAGATGCGGGCAGAGGGCTGAGAGGCATTGGTCGCAGGTGCGAGGGAAAATTCCGCACCTGCGTTAGCTCAGGTGCGGACGGATGCGCGCAGAAGCAGAAACTGGGCAGGCGAGTGGAGTCCGCAAATACGACATTTTGGTCGGACAAGTGGATGCGCAAGTGTGCAAATCTTGTCCGCAGATGCGGAAATCACTGGGGCAGAACCTTAAATTCGAGGGTTCAACATTTTCACCCATTTTCGGATAGAGTTGAATTTGTACGTAGTTCTAAGGGTATGTGGTATAACTTGATACAAATCGTAAGAGGAAATAGAAATATCAAGTGTTGACTGTAGAGAATGAAAAATAAGCAAAGTTTAAAAGAGGATGATTTATGTATTAAACAAGATGAATCAATCTATGAAGCTAAAAAAGGACAACTCTTCAATATAGGTGTGTATGGTATCCCAGTTACAATGTATGCCAAACTTAATGCTTTACAAGAATATATCCATCCCTTTTATAGTGGGGGGATCCTACTTTAGATATAATTAAAAATACATAGTGGAAAACCCATGATAAATCAGTTTTTCTCTAATTTTCGCTGAGATTCTCTCCCTTAATGCGGCTGTAACGGCTCTTGTCTATGAGCTCGATCTTGATCGGACTCAGAATTGATCGGTTTTCAGTTTTAGAGCTCGATGCGGGTTTGAGCTTGATGCCGACTCGGGGTCCGGTAATGACTTGGGCTAGGTATTGGTTGGCCTCTAGCCCTTAAGCTCGATTCTATCACATCTCATCATACCAAACTGTTTACCCGAAAAACGGATAGAGTTGAATTTGTATGTAGTTCTAAGGGTATATGGTATAACTTGACACAAATCGTAAGAGAAAATATAAATATCGAGTATTGACTGTAGAGAATTAAAAATAAGCAAAGTTGAAAAGAGGATGATTTATGGATTAAACAAAATGAATCAATCTATGAAGCTAAAAAGGGATAACTCTTCAATATAGGAGTGTATGATATCTCAGTTGCAATGTATGCCAAACTTGATGCTTTACAGGAATATAGCCATCCCTTTTATAGTGGGGGGATCCTACTTTAGATATAATTAAAAATACATAGTGGGGAACCCATGATAAATCAGCTTTTCCCTAATTTTCGCCGAGATTCTCTCCCTTAATGCGGCTGCAACGACTCTTGTCTATGAGCTCGATCTTGATCGGACTCAGCATTGGTCGGTTTCCAGTTTTAGAGCTCGATGCGGGTTTGAGCTTGATGCCGACTCGGGGTCCGGTAATGACTCGGGCTCGGTATTGGTTGGCCTCTGGCCCTTAAGCTCGATTCCATCACATCTCATCATAGTTCGATTCAGACCCGAGCTCGATAATGACTTCGAGCTCGGTATTTGACTTGTTCCTGAAACTTGAAGCTCGTTTGTGCCTTCTTCGGATCTCATCTCGATATTATGAAGAATTTCTTCGGTCCATTATGTTCTCATCTCGATCAGACATACGAATGCCGAAATCAGACGTACGAATACCGAAATGGTTGGCAATAGTCAAGTCTATATTTTGTTATAAAATAAGATTGGTTGATAGAGAAGCCCACACAGATCACATTTCTAACCCAATGTCAATGAGAATTTATATAGAATTTATAACTTATTTAAGATTAAGGTGTAGTTATTTCTTTAAACAAATATTTTATTATTATGTAAATCTTACTTTAAAAAGACTAAGGAATTAATGTGCAAATCGAATCGCAACCCAGAAGATTTGAACTTCATACCCTTTATTATTTTATAAACGAAGGGAGTGCTATATATTTGTTTCTTCTAGTAAGATGACTTTCCGCCGATACAACAAGGCAAGATTAATACACACCAAAAGCCCATAATTCTAAAGATAGGAGATACAAAATTAATTATACCAAATAAAAAAAGTATACAAGGTCAACACAATTGATCATGATTTCCCAAAAATCATATACATCCAAGGTCTAAGCATACCCTTAATGACACGTGTTCTTGTCTACCACCAAAGAATCCAACAACACTTGAGAAGCTAATATTCTCTTAAACCTCATTTAATAAAATATTAAAGCAAGAAATACTTCTAACTCAAAGAAAAAAATGTACCATATGAGCCAAGTGGAAACTGGAACAAAGAAAAATATTTGTATGAATTGATTCATATATCGCAACATGTAGAAATTGCTTCATATATATCACAGTTGCAAGGGAAGTAAAAGAACAAAAGGAATATCAGAAATTAAAATCAGAAAATACTGGATAAATTAAGAAAATAACACTGAAATGATTCGTAACAATCCTTACATTAACACTAGAAATACAAACAACTTCAGAGTTGTACAATTCAACAGCTAGCCCATCTTTTTTCCGAAACCCTAGTTCTTTAAACTGGAGAATAACATCTACTAGTAAAAAGTTTCTTGTTAATAATACCATACTAAAAACCGATATTTTAGATCGCTAGTTTAGATAGAGTACTGCGGGATGCAGCAAAAAGTTCAAGAATTCTGCAGCTTAGCTGCAAAAATATTGAGAAGGTCTGGGTACTGAAATATGTCTCCCGTCATGTTGTCTCCTGATGACACCTGAAGATTTGCTGCAAAATCTTGATAATACATTGGAAAAGATGATGACGTTTGTGAGAATTCAAATCCACTGTTTAAACCATCATTTATCTGCTGTGGAATATTAGAAACTCCAGATAATTCTCCTTTAGTAGAGGAAGGGAATGGCTCAGACTTGATGGGCTTGGGCTTTGGGAAAAACCCATGTAAGGCCTCTTCCAGTAATCCAGAATCAGTTGGCTCTGAAGGAAAAAAATCCATTCCCGAATCATCATGAATACAAGTGTTGTTGTTGAGTGAATGAATGTTTTCGATTTTTGGCAGAGTCATAACGGAGGAGCTGGGAATAATACCATTGCTAGTAGTGGGTAAAAAAGTGGAAGAAGAACAGGTATGATTCATCAAATCAGAAGTTGAAGAATTCAAACTAATACTAGCATTATTGCGACTAAACATTAAAGGCAGCTGTTCATACAAAGGCATGTTGTTGTTAAAGCCAGTGTTTGAAGAAAGGGAAGTAGTAGTAGTAGTAGTAGTAGTATTGGAGGGGTTCGAACTAAGAAGTTCACGAAATAGAAGCATGTTCAAAGAATCATTGCTTTTCTGAGTCGAAGTAGCAACTGTAGTACCATTGACACCCCTAATGCCAGAACCATAAGAAGGCGGATAATTAGAGGAGTGAAAAAACTGTCTATTCGACAAGTCCTTTAGAGCAGCCTGATAGGGAAATGACTTAGCACAAGTATAGTTGAACGAATTAGGAATATTAAGAAACGTTAACCCATCATTAGTAGAAGTAGGTTGAGTAGGAGAAGGAGGAGGGTAAACAAAATTTGTTCGGGCTTTAACACCGCGCATGGCTCTAGCAGCACAATCGTAAGCACAAGCAGCTTCTTCTGCGGTA